CTGTAGTAAGCACTCTGAGACATACATTTCCTCCACTCTCTAATCTCTTTGTCCTTAAGGGACCTACTAAATAAACTTTCACACTATCATTATAAATGTTGCCATATGAGGTAGATAATAAGGCTGTTGCAATAAACATATAACATGATTTAAAATCCTGAACACAAACCAGTGTTTTATAGTGCCGGTCCCAATCCCGGATAAGGAAGGGCATCCGGTGTAAAACCTTTGCTAAATCAAATAATGCAAATTAAAACGATTTCCATACCGGATCGGTCGGGGCCCAGGTAAAAAACGACCGCCAACAGTGCTGTTGACCTACAAGGTTCTGATGGAAATTGGGCTACTGTTGGTCGAAGACAAAGAAGAAGAGGAGGGTGTTTGGTTAGGAGAAAAAAGAGAAAAGAGGAAGAATAAAAGTGTTGGTCTGATGTTTGGAATGTAGGTACAATTACAGGGAAAAGTAGAGAACTAGCTGATATGATAGAGAGAAGAAGAGTAGACATTTTGTGTGTGCAGGAGACCAGGTGGAAGGGCAGTAAGGCTAGAAACATTAGAGGAGGCTACAAACTATTTTATCATGGTTCGGATGGGAAGAGAATGGAGTAGGGGTGATCCTAAAGGAAGAATATGCAAGAAATGTGGTGGAGGTGAAACGAGAGTCAGACAGGTTGATGTGTGTGAAGGTTGAAATAGAAGGAGTGATGATGAATGTTGTCAGTGGTTATGCCCCACAGGTGGGCTATGAGTTGGAAGAAAAGGAGTTCTGGAATGAGCTGGATTGGGTGATAGAGAGCATCCCCAGGTGAGAGAGAGTGGGGATTGGAGCAGACTTTAATGGTCATGTAGGGGAAGGAAACAAAGGTGATGAGGAAGTGATGGGCAGGTTTGGCGTTAGGGATAGAAACTTGGAAGGACAGGCAGTAGTTGATTTTGCAAAGAGAATGGAAATGGCTATGGTAAACACCTATTTCCAAAAGAGAGAGGGCCACAGGGTGACGTACAAAAGTGGAGGCAGGTCCACACAGATAGATTATATTCTATGTAGAAGAGGCAACCTGAGGGAGATTAGAGACTGTAAGGTGGTGGCAGGTGAGAGTGTAGCCAAACAACATCGGATTGTGCAAGATGATGATGGAGGTATGCCAAGGGAGGAATTGTGGTTTTGTATGAGGAAGTCAGGAGTGGCAGAGAAGTATTTTAGATTGGTGCAGGACATGTATGAGAATAGTACAACAGTGGTGAGGTGTGCTGTTAGGAGGAGAGAGGACTTCAGGTGGAGGTAGGACTACATCAAGGATCAGCCCTGAGCCCCTTCTTGTTTGCTGTGGTGATGGACAGATTGACAGATGAGGTCAGACAGGAGTCCCCATGGACTATGTTGTTTGCAGATGACATTGTGATCTGTAGCGAGAGTAGGCAGCAGCCAGAAGAGAACTTAGAGAGGTGGAGGTTTGCACTATAGAGAAGAGGATTGAAGGTCAGTGGTAGCAAGACAGAGTACATGTGTATAAACAAAAGGGAGAACAGTGAAATAGTGAGGTTACAAGGAGCAGAGGTGGTCCTCTGCTCCTTAAAGTACTTTAAGGATCAGTTTAAGGATCAACTGTTCAGAGCAGCGGAGACTGTGGAAGAGAGGTGAAGAATAGAGGGCAGGCAGGATGGAACAGCTAGAGAAAAGTGTCAGGAGTGATCTGTGGTAAAATGGTGTCAGCTAATGTGAAGGAAAAGGTTTACAGGACGGTGGTGAGAACAGCCATGATGATGATGTTTAGAGAAACTAGCAATAGGCAGAAGACAGGAGGCGGAGCTGGAGGTGGCAGAGTTAAAGATGCTAAGATTCTCTTTAGGAGTGACAAGGATGGACAGGATCAAGAATGAAGTCATTAGAGGGACAACACAGACAGGAAGGTTAGGAGAAAAAGCTAGAGAAGCCAGATTGAGATGGTTTGGACATGTGCAGAGGAGGGACAGTGGATACATTGGTAGAAGAATGTTAGAGATGGAGCTACCAGGTAGGAGAAAGAGAGGAAGGCCAAAGAGGAGATATATGGATGTAGTGAGGGAGGACATGCAGATAGTTGGAGTCAGAGTAAAAGATGCAGAGAACAGGGAAAGATGGTAAACAATGATTCACTGTGGCAACCCCTGAAAAAGGGACAAGCCGAAAGGAAAGGAAGAATTTAACACACTCTCTCTGCCACAAAACTTTCTGGTTTGTTCGGTTGCATGTTCACAGATAGAAACGTATACCAGATCAGCTGCTCATTTACTTCGATTGCAAAGTATCTCCACACCCAACTGCTTCCTCCTGGCTTATCGATAATATTTTTTGTTAATCAGATTTTATTCACATTGACTAAGTTGAGTTGACTGTAAAGCATATGTTACTGTTTCACTTCTGTGCATTTCTCTGATCTGTTACTTTATTGGGATACATTTATGACACCGTCTGCTTTTTAGTTTCTCTTTTAAAATGGCTCCCACACAAACTTTTATTACTGAATGTGTCACACCACTATACGAGCAGACAGATCAGTCTGGCTGATGACAGGTCACACCAGCAGCTGATTTGATAATGTTATCTAGGTTTCATTATTTGATAAGAGTTACAAACTAAAGTCAATTTAGCCTATTTTTGGCATTAGAAATTACCTGGAGTCAGTGACTAGAATGCATGCAAATGTGCAACTTCACAAAGAAAATCATTATCTGCAAACAATATTTTTAGAATTACATGAATAAAATCAGTTAAGAGAGTGTGCATTTCAGAAAGTAAGAAAGTGTGTTATATTGCCTGTATATATATTGCCTGTATTGCTTATTGTATAAGTTTAAAACAGTCTGAAAGATTCTTGCTGTGCGAGGTGTCTTCAGGCAAGGGGTGGAAGCAGCCGGTAGATGGTCGATTTGTTTTAATAACAAACGTCAAACAAAACAGGTCCAACAATAAAGCAAAATAAACGACTGGAGAAGTCTTCAAGGAAATCTCGTACAACAGTAGTTAATACGCAAATCCTGTCAAGAATAACTTCTGACTTTTCAAGACTTCTCAAGAATAACTTCTAAAGTATCGTTAGTTGTTTATGCTTATATACCTGTATGGGGGGAGTGGTTTTTTCGACTTCCCGGGTGTGTGTTTAAATCTTGTAGGCCAATGGAAGAGAGAGGCTAGGCCTCTTGTGGCCAATCATATTATTGTTCTTGTATCATGTGATGCCTGCAGTCGCCACTATGTGGCACTGCTGTTCCATGATTCAGCAGTGTTGGAAGAAGCTTTTGTTGCTCAGTGGGGGGTTATCACAAGGGAAGTGGACCGAGCCATGAAGTCCAGTCAACCACAGGTGGTCATGTAGATCAAAAGGAATGGATGGCTTCGAGGTTCCCTGTGAGAAGGTAGATTGGGAGATCTCCCATTGTTCCCAGGGAGTAGAGGTGTTTTTAGAAAGTTGGTGTAAAGAGAATTTGGGGAAATTCTCTTTGAATGTGTGGGGCTATGTGACTGTGTGCTCGGGAAAGCCATTTGGTGTCTTATCATCTTCCTGCTGCAGACCCAACCAAATGTGAAAACCACTGAACTCTAACAAGTCCTAACCTGCATGTATGCTTCATTCAATGAGGCTATTACTGTTTGGGGAGATTACAGTTTAACATACTCATACGATGTTAGAAGAAGTCTTACATTATTTTATATAGATTTTAACAAATTGCCATCCATTCTTTTTAAAATAAGTATAAGTATTTTTTTCTTAATATGTCTCATAAAAACCATTGACAGAATTAGGCAAGAGACACAAGAGAGCTTTCCATTAATTTAATCACACAAAAAACAGCAACATGAATAAGTGAACAGGTTTACATTGTAATACATGAAACATGAGATTAGGATTGGCCTGATAATGTATTTGTGAGGAATGATATTACCGCTGTGCAAAGTTTAAGTGAATACAAGAAGGGAGTTTGTGTCTATGTGCGTTTGTGTGTTTTTGTACCGGACCGAGCTCGGTTATGATATCATGACAGCAGACCTAACGGAGCTGAAGGTGCAGAGACTATTTTGGGATGAGGGGTGGGAGGACCAGAAGAGCTGTAGGGGTCAGGTGAAGGTAAAGGAGATTTTAGAGTAGAAGAGGTTCTTCCTCTACTCTACTCTTCTTTCTGACACCACCCACCTCATGAAACCTACCTACTTTTTCAGCCAGGTCATGGAGGGAGGAAGGAAGGAAGGAAGGAAGGAAGGAAGGAAGGAAGGAAGGAAGGAAGGAAGGAAGGAAGGAAGGGCGGAAGGGCAGAAGGAAGGAAGGAAAGTGAACTAATTGTCATTGTGACACAGCACACCACTGCAGACAACCAAATGTGACCTCTGCTTTTAACCCATCACCAAAGTGAACAGTGGGCAGCTTTAAGCGCCCAGGGAGTGTGTGGGGACGGTGCCATGCTCAGAGCACCTCAGTGGTAACTTGGCAGATGGTGGACTCAAACCTGAAGCCCATTCCACATTCCATTCAAAAGATACACTCGAACCAATACCCTGCCCTCCCCCTCCGTATGTGTGTGTATGTGCATTCTACTTGACACTGCAATGCAGGAGCCACACTGGCCACCAGCACACTCCCATCTCTCAGTTTACCTTCAGCAGTGTCTCTTCCCCCACCCTGCTCTGTACTAATCAGGCAACATGAAGAAGCACAATCTGTCTACTCCTGCTCTTGCCTATTGTTCCTGGTAACTGTAACTACAGTATGTTTACTGGTGGCTTCATCATAGAACCATAACCTGAATGTCTGCCTTCAAAAACAAAACTCTAGGAATGTTTTTGCTCAGGAACAGGCTCGAGGCATTAGAATACACTGATTTACAGAATCTTTTTTTGGTTTTCTATTTTGCCTGCCTATGCACACAGAACTCTCTCTCTCTCTCTCTCTCTCTCTCTCTCCTCCAGTCAATCACAACTAATATTTTTTTTCATTTTCTCATGTGAGTTTTATGTCTCTTTGCAGGTCTTCACATAATGAAATGGAGAAGAACAGGTATGTCAGTGTGTTTGTGTTGCTGCGTGTTCTTGTGTGTGTGTGTATGAGATTCATATGAAAAGCAGCTCACACCACAGAAATCCAATTTCCCCACTGTTGCCATGGAAGTGTCAAAGTGTAAATTATGTGGGTTTGACTGGATGTGTGTATCCATATCATTACATTGTTAAAGAGAGAGAGATCATTTTACCATTCATCTTCATTTATATATGGGAGTGGCGCTTTGGCCCAGAGGCAATGTCTCTGTCATTGGTGTGGAAACCCAGGGATCACCTCCTGGGCAAGTTCAAATTCCAGTTAAGGCGGTTGGCGCCTTCCAGTGGACTCACCACCCGCAGGGAGGTTCCCGATGTACTGGTACGGTGCAGTGTGACTTGGGTTGTGGAGAATGCTGCCCCCGCGACCCGGTAAAGGATAAGCAGATGAAGGTGGATGGATGAATGGATATATGGGAAACGGATCAAATTGCAAGTGTTACACCTGTACAATTTATGAAATAAGCATTACTTTGTTGGAAAAGGCTTGGATGCTAATAAATATTTTGTAACCCCATACAGAAAAAACACATTAGTTGTAACTGTTTTAACTGAACTAAACATAAGAACACACACCCTCAACAAACATTGTTTCTTTCCTTCTTTCTGTAGTGAACTAGATGTTTATTCTAAAAAAAAACATAAAGCTGCCAGGGTGCTGGACCTGTTCACCTGCAGGGACAGTATCCAAGATCGATTTGGATACTTAAAGAATTTCACAAAGTAAAAGGCTGCATGCAACTGTTGTGTCTCATGTTTCTCATCTGTCACAGTTCTGTAACTCCAAAATGCATAGCCACAAAAATGGGACCAAGATATTTGAATAACTGTCCCAAATGTTTACACAATGTAAGGCTCTTATTAGAGCAACATGGTGCACAAAATGGACTCTGTGAGTTCACTGGTGTCAACAGAAGCAGTTTTCGCACCTTCTTCTAGGACTAATGACACAAACATAGTGTCATGGTTGTATCAGGTGACTAACCTGTGCTGCTTAAGCAAGCTGATCTGGTTTCAATAACTCTCACAACACCTTTATGTAGAGCTTCAGGTGAACATACAGTATGTGCTGTTTTACACCATTAGCTACACGTACAGCTATCAGGCTGCTGCTCCTTAGTTTGTCAGACATCGAAAACACCAGTTTAATTCTTTTACTTTCTGGGGCTGCTGTGGCTTCCACCTGCCTCTGTTAACTGATCTAAATTAGCAGCTCTGTGGGCATCTGAATAATATATGGCACACAGTCCTGTGTTACATGTCTGTGTGCATGTACGTGTTGAACTTATAACCAACTGCCTGTTGTCTTATGCTCGACAACACTAAGTCTTGAGCCATTATCTGGTGTGATGATCGATAGAAAGCCATGGTCACACACTGAAAAGGCTGCCACGCCCATTGTCCCTTATAATTTTGTCTACTACTTTCTTTCTTCCATTGTCATAAAACTTGGACTTCAGAGTGCACGAGCGTTTGTTTTCATCCAGCCAGCCCCTGCCACACCTTTTTCCTCGTAATTCTTCTTACCAGTTGTCAGGGAGTTGGGAGGGACTGCTTTGAGGTTAGAGGGTTAGAAAGAGACTGATTGACAGCTGCTTCAGCAAAGAGCAACACACTGACCTTGTTGTAGTTTTTTTAGTAGGTTACAGTTCACTGTAATGGAAACCATCTAAGGCTGTAAAGAACAGCATCATTCCATCAGTGTTATGCAACAAGTTTCTGCACATCTTACCTTTTTCAGAGTAAACAGGTGTACGCAAAGCATTCCTGAAAATCCAAAAGTGATAAGATAAGATAAGATAAGACTTTATTCATCCCACACCAGGGAAATTCACTTGTTACAGCAGCAGGATAGACATGTAGTAGGTTCAAGGTTCAAGGTTTTTATTCGCATTTGTGCATAGACCCACAGTCCATGCACATTGGAAATCTTGTGCGGGTTCACAGAGTCAACCGTTTTATACAAACATTTTGTTAAAAAAATAGAGGTAGGTAATATAAAGAATGATAAAATATAATGTGTAGAGTCTAAGAATAAAATATCAAATATATAATATAAAGAACACTGTAAATCAATGGTAAGGCATTATTGTCAAGAAAGTGGATTGTATATGGGAAAATACAGTCGTAGCCTCAACTGACCAGCAGGACAGGACAATGTTGGAGACAAGTGATAAATAATAAACAAAGTGATAAATAATAATAAGCAGCATACGTTGTATTTTACAAATAGTCTAGTTCAGAGAGTATGAGATGAGATGGGGCTATAGGAGATGGAGATAGAGAGAGACACAGGGGAAAGGTAAACAGAGAGAGGTGGGGGGAGAGAGAGAGTATTGCACTATTAAGAGTATTGCACATTTTATCATGGAACTTTACATTTAACATAGGAGGGAATTGCACATTGACCGACAGTGAATCATTATTGCAGCAGTATGAGTCATATTGCACTTATTTATATTGCACAGTATTGCTTTGATGAGGTGTTTGTTAATTTCCACAGTATTTTTTAATTGCCATCATTCTAACTGCGGCCGGGAAAAAGCTGTTTAAAAAGCGAGTTCTATGGGTCCTTATACTGTCTGCTGTGCTTTGTCTCAGGTTGTATGTGCTGCGTTTGTGTCTGAGCAGAGAGTGAGCGGGGTGGAGTGAGTCTCTGATGATCCCCCCTGCTCTTTTTCAACAGCGCTGGGTGTACATGTGCTCCATGGAAGAAAGTTTTGATCCGATTATCCTCTCTGCAGTTTTTATGACTCTCTGCAGAGCCTTCCTCTTTGCCTGTGTGGTGTTCCCATGCCATACAGTTATGCCTGTGGTGAGAATGCTCTCTATCAGTCCTCTGTAGGCGTTGGTGAGAGGGCGGTGGTTCAGGCCAGCTTTCCTGAGTAGTCTGATGAAGTGGAGCCTTTTCTGGGCTTTTTTCACCGTGGCTGTGGTGTTGTAAGTCCAGCTCAGGTCAGACGTAACTTGCTGTTCTAGGAATCTGTGGTTCTCTGCCCTCTCCACCTCAGCCCCTCTGATGAGAAGAGGCTGTAGAGGAGGAGGATTTTTCCTGAAGTCCAGGATTATTTCCTTGGTCTTGTCTGTGTTGAGGATAAGGTCGTTTTCCTCTCCATAAACAATGATGTTGTCGACCAGGGCCCTGTACTTTGACTCGTCTCCCCCCTTGATGAGCCCCAGGATGGTGGTGTCATCGGTATATTTAATGACGATGTTGCTGTTCTCAGTGGAGGCACAGTCGTGGGTGTACAGGGTGAAGAGTTTGGGGCTGAGGCAGCAGCCTTGTGGTGATCCTGTGCTGACCGTAAGCTCAGCGGACACCAGTCACCACCTGTGGTCTTTCGGTAAGGAAGTCCAAAATCCAGTTGCAGGTGGGGGTAGGGACTCCCAGGTCTGCCAGCTTTGTGATCAGTCTGCCTGGGCATATACTGTTGAAAGCAGAACTGTAGTCCAGAAAGAGCATCCTGACACACGTACTGCTGGTTTCCAGGTGTTGCAGGGTGTGACGGAGGGCTATTGCTACGGCATCATCCACTGATCGGTTGGGGCGGTAGGCGAACTGGAGGCGGTCTACATTGTCTGGGACCATGTGGTTTATGTAGGGAAGGACTAGTTTTTCTAGACACTTCATGGCAACTGGTGTGAGTGCCACTGGCCTGAAGTCAGTTAGGGTGGCTGTGTCTGGTGTCTAGGGGACTGGTATGATGATGGAGGTTTTGAAGATGCGAGGGACTACGGCTTGGGATAATGATGTGTTGAAGATGTCGGCGTACACACCAGCTAGTTGTTCCCCACAGGCCCTCAGTACTCTGGGAGGCACTCCCACCACCTTGTGGGGGTTCACCTTTTTCAGAGCCTTCAGGACCTGTGTGTGTGTAACCTGGAAGGCACTGTCCGTGGAGTCACAGGATGCTTTTGAGGGTGTGTTTGTGTTGAGTCTGTCAAACCTGACGTAGAAAAAGGCTGTCTGGAAGTGTAGTGTCCCGGGGGTCTGTGATTGTTGTGGTCTTTCTGTAGTTTGTGACAGACTTGATTACATGCCACATGCTGCGTGTGTTGTGGTTGAGATAGTAGCCTTCAGGTTTTTGGGAGTGAGCCCTCTCTGCTGCTTTGATGGACTTTTGCAGTTCGTACCGGGCTCTCTTGTACTCACGTGGTCTCCTGACTTGAAAGTCTCTTCTTTAATTTCTGCTTTACGTCTGTGTTAAACCAGGGTTTTTGGTTGGGGAACTTACGTACTGTTTTGGGGGGTGCACAGATGGATGTGCACCAGCTGATGTAGTTGCTGACAGTTTCTGTGTATTCATGGATGTCGTTAGTGGCCTCTTTGAAAGTGTTTCAGTCTGTGGCTTCTAAGCAGCCCTGCAGCCTAGCATGTGTGTCGTCAGTCCAGGTGTTAATGGTTTATATTGTGACTGGAATTGACATTAGCCCTTTGTTGTAAACTGGTTTAAGCTGGATCGCCAGGTGGTCAGACTTTCTAAAGTGGGGTAGTGGTTTAGCTGAATATGCATTCTTAATGTTGCAGTAGCATTTGTCCAGAATTTTGTTTCCCCTGGTGGGGAAGTTCACAAACTGATACAGTTTAGGCATTGTTTTCCGGAGATTACAGTGATTAAAATCTACCACAATAATGACAGCTGTGTCAGGGTAGGTGTTTTCATGCCCATTGATCATGTCATGTAGCTCACTCAATGCAACCTCCTCCTTGGCGGAAGGGGGGTGTACACAACACTCACAATAATGCACTGCAGTTCTCTGGGCAAATAAAATGGTCTAAGTCTCAGAGTTAGATATTCCACATTTTCGGAGCAAAATCGGAGATTATCTTACTGTCGGTACACCAGGATTGTTTGACGAGGGCGGCCGTACCTCCACCACAAGTCTTGCCGCTGTCCATCACACTACGGTCCTCTCTGAAGATCGTGTAGCCGGCGGGTGTTACTGCCTCATCCGGTGTCC